CATTACCTCATCATTCCTTTTGTAGAAAAGCTGGTAAATGCCTGCTACTAACTCTTTTAGTGGTTGGTAGAATCTTACAGCAAGCCATCAGTCCTGTACTTTTCTCTCAGGGAAGATGATGATGAAGAGAAAAAAAAAATAATCTCCAGACTTGTTGTAGATACCTTATTTAGATTTATTTCTTATATTTTTGTGTGTATGTGTGCACACTTGGGAGCCAGAGGCAGAGGATCTCTGAGTTCAAGACCAGCCTGTTCTACATAGCCAGTTCCAAGACAGCTAGGGCTACGCAAGAGAGACCCTGTCTCAAACAACAATGAGAAATACACAAGAACAAAATCATCCTAGACATCCTCTCAATAATCAATGTTTTACATTCACGCACAGTTTTTAGCTGAAGCCCAACACCATCATTATACCTAGTAAAATAAATAAATAAATATTTTTTAAAAAAAGAATTAAGAGCCAGGCAGGCTTTGCACGCCTTTAATCTCAGCACTAGGGAGGCAGAGGCAGGCCAATCCCTGAGCTACACAGAGAAACTCTGTCTCAGAAAACAAAACAAGTTGCCTTTTGGTCCTTGGCCCTTGTGCAAATGTTCTAGCTGTCTATTCCTAGTCCAGACTCCTGCATGTGTCACCGTGGGAAGGGACCCTGGCAGTTGGGTAGCCAGCTTGGTGAAGGGACTTTTGCTGTGTAATGGGGGTACGGGCCCTCACGGATCCTGTCCTATTGCAGGAACAAATGTGGCATCTGGGGATGGCGGTCTGAGAAAATGGAGACCGTCAGTGGCTACGAGGCCAAGGTAGGAGGGGCTGCCTGGCTATCAGACTTAGGGATAGCCTTGTGAGGCCCAAGCTCCTTCACCTCTTCGCACTGTGGAGGGAGAGATGGGATAGTTTTCACACCGGAAGCCTGACCAACCAAAGAGAATTTCTACGGCCCAGAGTCCGGCTGACCCCTCCCTCCCTAGGCTCTGAGATGAACTAATGGGTGGTTGTCTGTTTTGTTTTTCTTGGCTCTCTAACTACATGTACCCATTGGTGACGCCTGGGGTTCGGACCCTGCCACCTGCTCTGCTGTGGGAAGAGTCTGTGTGTCTCTGGGAACAGGAGGACTGGGATCCTGGGCTGATGAGGCAGGCTCTGAACCCCAAGTTCCCCATGTCTTGCCCTGATCCCCAGGTGTACAGTGCCACCAATGTGGAGCTGGTGACACGCACAAGGACAGAGCACCTCTCTGATCAGGACAAGTTAAGGAACAAAGGTAAACCCAGGTGCGACTGCCGACTGCCTGCCGCCCAGTCATCCTGTGGTCTGGTGCCAGGGCTCAGCAGGCCCAGGCAGGGTGGAAGGACTCCCTCTTCCTGCCTGAACCCTCTCCCACCCAGCGGGAGGCTCCCAGGCAGAAAGCTTCTGAACACAGGCTGGGAAGTGACCCAGAGGTCCCTCATGGTTCCTCCCTCTTCTCAGCGGGGAAGACTCCTTTCCAGTCCTTCCTGGGGATGGCACAGCAGCACGCCTCCCACAGCGGGGTGAGCTTGGCTTCCCGGGACAAGCCTGGCTGGGTGGGGCACTCTCTGGTCATATGGAGGGCTAAATCCTGCCCTGGGGTCTGCTCAGGCTCCTGTGCAGCAAGCAGCCAGCCCCACCAACCCCACAGCCATTTCTGCCGAGGAGTACTTTGACCCCAGCTTCAGCCTGGAGTCAAGAAACATTGGGCGCCCCGTGGAGATGTCCAGCAAAGTACAGAGGTGAGGTCTGGGGGCAGGTGGGGGTTCCATCAGGAGACCTTGAACATGGCAGAGTCCTGCCACTCATGGAGTGTGTCACAGTGAGGGGTACGCTCACCCAGTAGGGCTTCTCTCTGGACTGTGCTCCAGAGGGTGGGAGCCATGTCTCTCTTAGCCAGGCTCTGAGAACCTAGCATGCACCTGGCCCAGGGAGCTGGTCATACTCGGTTGCTATCACCAGTGTATTTGCTTTTGCTTGCTTGTTTTAGCTTTATGATACAGGGTCCCATTTTGTAGCCCTGGCTTGGAGCCCTTTACGTAGCTCAGGCTAGGCTCCAACTCAAAACAATCCAAGTAGTGGGATTACACCATTCCTGGCTGGTTTTTCTGTTCAACTCAGTGAGCGTGTGCCAGGGACAGAGCATGACAGAGTGGGAAGGGCCCACAGCTCTGCTGTTCACTGGCTTATATCACAAGGAAATAATCTTCCCTTCTGGTAGTCTGTTTTCTTCTCCAGAAAAGCAGAAAGTCAGCCCGATGTGCATGGTCACAGTGAAGATGCCTTGTAGCAGGTCTACGCACCTTGCCTTGCAGCCTCCTGTGCCTCTGCACAGACATTATTGGAGACGGGACTTAAACCCCAGAGTTCCCAACTCCTGGGCTGTGCTCGACACTCAGACACAGCACTTTTGTGCGTGTGTGTCCAGCACAGTCAAGTGGACAGTGCTGGCTAGTGTTGGACAAAGACCAGGCTATGGACAAGGCCCAGAGAGAAGCCAACAGGGTGGCCACTGCCCCTCCTCATGCAGATCAAAAGAACGGCACGAAGCCATCATCAGCACCAGACAGGCCAGGGGCTGGGACTGCTCAGCCTTTACAGGGGGCGGCAGTCAGGAGCTGAATGGGGGGAAGGCACCACAGGCAGGGGACTAGAAAGGGTAGAGGCACCAAGGTCCCTGACCCACTTCCTATGGTTGGCTGGCTAGGTTCAAGGCAACACTGTGGCTCAGTGAGGAGCACCCACTGTCCTTGGGTGACCAGGTGACACCCATCATTGACCTCATGGCCATCAGCAATGCTCATTTTGCCAAGCTGCGGGATTTTATCACTCTGCGCCTCCCACCAGGCTTCCCTGTCAAGATCGGTGAGAGGGCAACCAAGGGGTAACCAGGACTTGGGTGTGACTCCTTCCTCGGGTTTAGGGTTACTGTCGGGTGCAAGCAGCTCAAGCCTGGCTCTCTCCTCTCAGAGATTCCCCTCTTCCATGTGCTCAATGCCCGCATCACCTTCAGTAACCTGTGTGGCTGTGATGAGCCTGTGAGCTCAGTGTGGATCCCCACGCCCAGTTCTGCCATTTCTGCTTCAGGTATGGCTGTAGCTACAGGAGACATGGGTGGCAGGTCAGCCTTGGGGCTGACTGTGACCTCTCTGCTGCCCCGCCCAGGAAGCCCTTTTCCATGTGAGGTGGATCCCACTGTGTTCGAGGTGCCTGAGGGGTATAGCGTGCTAGGTGCTGAGCGCAATGAGCCCCTTCGAGATGAGGATGACGACCTGCTGCAGTTTGCCATTCAGCAGAGCCTGCTTGAGGCTGGCACGGAGGCAGAGCAGGTGGGATGCAGAGGGAAAGTGGGTCATGGCCTCCTTAGCCACAGGCCTGAGGTGACAGTTCTGGGCTCTGGCTACCGCAGGTGACTGTGTGGGAAGCTCTGACCAACACGAGGCCCGGCATACACCCGCCTCCCCAAGTCACGGTGTTTGAAGAGCAGCTTCAGCTGGAGCAGTGAGTCCCCAGGAACTGTGTGTGGGTCCTTGGCTGACTGTCGGTAGGTGGGAAGCCCGGGAGATCTGATCCAGGGGCTCCGTACCTTCACTTGACAAAACGCTGCTCACCATGAGGAGTGTGAAGGGCCAGAGAGGGCCTGCTTGTCTCTGTCCCTGACACCTTGTGCTCAAAATTACATGCTTTTGGCCTCTCTCCAAGCCTTCTCACTGATCTGCTCTCCTTTAACCCTCACCTTGAAGGGCCCTCCAGGAAAGCCTACAGCTGTCCACAGAGTCCAGGGGTCAAGAGTCTCCTCAGAGGACACCTCCATCCCCGGCACCCCCAAGCTTTGAGGAGCAGCTTCGCCTGGCCCTGGAGTTGTCTTCGAGGGAACAGGAGGAACTGGAGCGACGTGGTCAGCAGGAGGAAGAAGATTTGCAGCGGATCCTGCAGCTGTCACTCACAGAACACTGAGCTGCCTGGCCCTGGGAAGGCTCTCCGGGGTCCTTCCTTCTGCTTGCTTTTGTAATTTATTTATTTATAAACTGTCTGCTGCTGTGCTTGGGGTCTGGGGTCCTGGAGGTAGGCTGTCCGTAAGACCAAGGTGGAAATAAAGAAAACATCGGCAGTAGGCTTGCTGTCCTCCGTGGGCTGGAACCAAGGGCACACTGGATGGGGTACTGTATTTCCATAGCTGTTAAATAAGACCATCCTCTCATAGAGCAGGCGTTCTTCGTTCTTGGAGGTTCTGAGATCTCCCTGCATGCTACCCCAACCCCAGGTAGTTCTGCCTGCCGCCCATGTGGCTCTTCCCACAGTGTTGTCCATTCGCCTGCTGGGGAGAGGAAAAAGACTGGGTCTTCCAAGCTCCCACCCCCCTCTCTGCAGCTCAGTTTCAAATATTTTCTACCAGAGTGAAACTCTAAGGGGCTCAGCCCTTCCTGGTCATCACTACTGTGGACCTGAGAGGTCTGTATGATTTGGGGACTATTGCTAAGACCCAACCTCATTTCCTCAGAAGCTTGCTGGTCTCTGGTCTCTGGTCTCCCAGATCGCCTCAGAGTGGAGGAATGAAGACCAAGCAGAAAGGAGAACAAGTTTGGAATGGGATGGTAGATTTAAGACCCAGTGCCTCCTCGCAACCCCATGGTGGCGCGTGTCTTCAATCCCAGCACTTGGTATATCTTTGTGACCTCCAGGCCATCTGGTCTACATCGTGAGTTCCAGGCCTGCCAGAGCTCCATAGTGAGACCCTGTCAAAAAAAAAAAAAAAAAAAAGACCTATTGTCCTTGCTCCTTCATTCCCAGGAGCCAGAGCGTAAAACAAACAGTGGAGGCCCAAAACTACTCACTCAGGTGATCTTCCTGGGTGCAGCACGGGCGACCAAAGCCGGGAGAGAAAGTGAGAGCTGGGCTCCTCACCTGAGCCCCGCCCTCGGCCCCGCCTTCTACCACGCCTCCAGCGAGGACGGGGCGGGGCGAACGCAACCGAGACCGGAGGGGAGGGGCCGCCGCCGCTCCGTGCCGGCTCTGCGAGAACCGACTGGTCATGAGTCGGGCCCTTTAAGGGCCGCTCCCGAGGAGGTGCCAGGCCCAAGCAGCTCCACTCTCTCCTTCCTGGTTGTGCGAAGTCTGGGGCTGACCGTGGGCTGTGGGAGGGGTCGTGCGGGGTGCTCGCCCAGGTGACCCGGGCCTGCCCCATGGCGTTGGTCACTGTGAGTCGCTCGCCGCCTGCTAGTGGTCACTCCACGCCTGTGGGATCCACGGTGAGTTTGGCTGGGTTTTCCCTTCGCGCAGTTGGCTGCCAGCTGGGCCTGAGGGAGCACGTCCTGCCCCTGGCAGCCGGCCTGGGCTGGGTGGGAGTAGGCGGAGAGGACCTTGCGCCTCATGGTTTGGGGCACTTGGGAGGTTCTGAGGCTCCCAGGACATAGGTAGATGCAAAGTCCTGCGACCCTCCCCACAGTCTGCAGCCACCTGCCCTTGTACCCCTGCTGTGCCTAGACTTAGGCCGGGACTTCTCTGGGGTCTGTGGAGCGGAACAGCTTTAGAGGGAAGAGATTTTTTTTTTCCCCAACTAGAGCTCAGCTCCCTTGGGGAGAGGAGAGGCTTTGGGCACTACCGGTCCTGGGGGCTGCTCTCTTACTCTATCCCTGGGTTGCTTCCTTAGCAGGTCAGAAGCAGAGGCCGGCTCCAGCGAAGGTGAGTCCCTTCTCCGGACCTGTGCTTCTCTGTAGACGGTAGGGTAGCCGCTGCCATTGTGGGCTGCAGCCCGGACTCACTGAAGTATTGTCAGATAAAGTCATGCTTAGGTGGGAGCCAGGGGCAGTGGGTGGAGCTGGCAAAGATCCCATCTTTGGTTTATGGATGAACCAGCAGGGCTAACTTGGTCCTGGTCAGTGGATGCTTTCATTCTTTACCTGGACGGGCCAGTGATTACAGGACCAAGGGCAGGATGGGGCCTGAAGATGTGTAGGTGCCTAAGCAGGTTTATAGCATCTGAGTCCACCCAGAAAAGGGACACATCCCAAATGTGCAAAACAAGGTGAGAAGGAGCTGGAGAGCCTAAGGTTGGCTCTGGGTGCTAGTTAAAAATGTAAACCGTCCCTTACACCAGCCCAGCCATCCATTTCAGCATTTCAGCAGTCCCTTGTTAACATTTGGAAACCTTACGGCCTGAACCATTTCCCCATCGCTCTGCCAGGCAGAGTTTTGCGGTGCTCCGAGGGGCGGTCCTGGGACTTCAGGATGGAGGGGACAGTAACGATGCAGCTGAGGCCGACTCTGGGCCAACTGAGGAACCCTCGGGTGAGGGGCAGCCCACTGAGGACCAGATGGACAACGGGCAAGGATTCCAGAGTCCCTGGAAACAAGTGCAAAAGCAGCACCTGCACCTCATGGTGGAGCTGCTGAGGCCACAGGATAACATCCGCCTGGTAAGGGAGATTAGGGGGCAACCAGGCAGCTCCCCAAGAACTCTGCCGCTTCAGCTAGAGGCATATCAGCAGGGCCAGCTTGGCTGTCCCTGGAGGGCTGTGAAGGACAAGGGAGGTTTGTCCCATGTGAGCCAAGCGGGGGGGGGGGGGGGGGTACAGGAGGAGGTTTCTGTTAACCACAAGAGGCTCCTGTTGATACTAGTGAGCTGCCCAGGGATGGACTCAGATTCCCCGGGGTTTTGAAGCACACCTTGGCAGCTGTGTACCAGCCAGACAAACAGCACCCACGAAGGGCTAAGGTCTGCTGGAGCCCAAGCGCCAGCTCTGCAGAAAGGGTGGGGCACCAGACACTTGAAAAAGATGCAGGTTTTGGTAAAGCTGGGTTTGGAACAGAAGTGCTGAGATTTCTTTTTCCCCCTTTGGTGTTTTGTCTGTATGCTTGTCTGTGTGAGGGTGTCAGAAGCCCTGGAACTGGAGTTACAGACACGTGTGAACTGCAGTGTGGGTGCTGGGAATTGAACCTGGGTCCTCTGGAAGATCAGTGGTGCTCTTAACCTGTCCAGCCCGAGGAATGCTATTCTAACCCATTATAAAATGAAATCCTTCTAGTATGTATGAGGCCCTACCTCCAACTCCTAACCCCACAAAAAAAAAAAGTTAAGTCCTTAATGTTCCTGTGGTAGAAGACATTTTTCAAATAAAATATTGGCAAGTGGCAGGTTGTTAGACCAGGCTGGCCTGGAACTCACATTTGCCTATCTCTGCCCCCTGAGTGCTGGGATGAAAGGCGTACACCACCATGCCTGACTAAGGGGCAGGGTTTTTAAAACCTCCTTGCAGGGCTATGAAGATGGCTCAGGGGTTAAGAACTCTGGCTGCTCTTCTAGAGGACTCTCAGTTCAATTGCCAGCAACCACATGGTAGCTCACAACCATCCAGTCCCAGGACAGCCGACACTCCTTTCTGGTCTCCCTGGGCACTGGGCATGCATATCACGCACAGACATGCATGCAGACAAAGAATCCTTACAAATAAAATACTTTTTCAAAAGATGAAACCTCTCTGCTAGGCAGAAACAAAAGGCTGCCTCTCTCAACGCTCCCCTCCCCTCCTTTTCTTATATTCCCCATTTAAGAGTTTTTGTTTGTTTTTTGTTTGTTTGGTTTTTTTTGGTTTGGTTTGGTTTTTCAAGACAGGGTTTCTCTATGTAGCCTTGGCTGTCCTGGACTCACTTTGTAGACCAGGCTGGCCTGGAACTCACATCAATCCACCTGCGACTACTTCTCTTAGTGCTGAGATCAAAGGCGTGCGCCACCGCACCTGGCTCCCATTTGTTTTAAAGACAGTTTGTTCCATAAATTGGAAAAGTTGACTATCACTGTATCTCAAGTAGCCGTGACCTTCTTTCTGGGAATTAGGGGATGTGTCCATGTGGGAGTGAAGGGCAGATCCAGGAGCTCCTGTGATTGAGGGCTTCTTCCATTTTCCCAGGCAGCCCAGCTGGAGGCAGCCAGGCCCCCAAGACTTCGCTACCTGCTGGTAGTGTCCACAGGAGAGTGTCTGAGTGAGGATGAGACCGTCCTTCTTGGGGTGGACTTCCCTGACAGCAGGTAGAAGCAGGGAGAGATGGGTTGGGCCAAGGATGTGAGGTGCGGAGGGACAATGGCTCTCCTGTCCCCTGCCAGCTCCCACAGCTGCACCCTGGGCCTGGTCTTGCCCCTCTGGAGTGATACCCAGGTGTACCTGGACGGCGATGGGTAAGAGGTAGCAGAAGGACTGGGGGAAAGAGGAGAATGGGGAGGCAGGCATTGAAGAACATTGGGGCCATACTCTGTTGGACTGTATGATCTTGAGCAAGTTACCTACCTCTGGGCCTCAGCCCCCCCCCCCCTCCCCGCTGACAAATGACTGGGTTCTCTGAGAGCCTGGCGTTTGGTCACACTCTCCCTGGGTCTCCTGCAGGGGCTTCAGTGTGACATCTGGTGGTCAGAGCCGAATCTTCAAGCCTGTCTCCATCCAGACCATGTGGTGAGTGCCGCAGTAGTCCAGCCCTGGGCCAGCCTCTCCTTAGACAGCAGCCAGGCCCAGAGGAGGGAACCAGGCAGGACTGTGTGACTCAGCCCCTTTCTCATTCCAGGGCCACGCTGCAGGTACTACACCAAGCATGTGAGGCAGCTCTAGGCAGTGGTCTTGTGCCTGGTGGCAGTGCCCTTGCCTGGGCCACTCACTACCAGGAGAAACTGAACTCTGACCAGAGTTGCCTCAATGAGTGGATGGCCATGTCTGACCTGGAGTCCCTTCGACCACCTAGTGCTGAGCCTGGACAGTCAGTGCGGGGGAGGGGAAGGGGAGGGGAAAGGGAGGGGAAGGAGAGGCAGGGGGTGTACCACTGTGAAGCGGCCTCTTACTGAAGGATCACTGCCAGGGCCTCAGAACAGGAGCAGATGGAGCAGGCGATCCTGGCTGAGTTGTGGCAGGTGCTGGACACCAGTGACCTGGACAGTGTGACTTCCAAAGAGGTAGGCAGGGTGGCTGGGCCCAGGGCCTGAGACTCACCTTCCCTTGGGGTCTTTCTCAGCTTGCTTTCCTGAGGCCTGAGCCATTCCCCAGTTCCTGACTTGAGCTCTGTGCAGATGGCCTCTACTCAGAGGCTTCACTGTGGACCCTCTTCCCTTGCCTTCTCCTCTCTATCTCCCCCCACAGATCCGTCAAGCCCTGGAGCTGCGTCTGGGATGCCCCCTCCAGCAGTACCGGGACTTTATCGACAACCACATGTTGCTGCTCATGGCCCAGCAAGACCGGCCCTCCCGGATCTTCCCCCACCTCTACCTGGTGAGTCAGGCTGTAGGAGGTGGGGGCCAGATCACCGATGCAGCTGCTATGACAGGTCCTGTAGCTAGAGACAAGCCACGGGAGCCCAGTGCTCCTCTCCTACTCTCCCTCTGCAGGGCTCTGAGTGGAATGCTGCCAATCTGGAGGAACTTCAGAGAAACAGGTAGGCTTCCCCAGGCTCAGGATGGCCACTCATTCTCTCAGGCTTCCTGTGGGTGTCCGGGCCGTTTCCGGAATCTTAGCTCACCCCCAGCACCACTGTTTCTGCTTTAACCCGCCCTTGGAGATGCTGGGCTCACTTGGCTTAGCCATCTGCCCCCACCAAGCACACCCTATAGCGCAGAAATGAGGGCTCGACTGTGCTGAAAGGAAGGACGGTGGTGGACACTTGCCAAGCAGAAGAGGTTCCTGGCCACCTCTACAGGTAGAAGGAAATGCCGTCTTCTAGTAGGGATGTGGCTGCTACTTCTGAAAGGAACCTGTCATCCCCCACCGTGGGCTTCTGAGAGAGCTGCTGTAGCCTTTATTACCCGCCGCTCAGAGCCCCCTGATCTCAGCTTAGCTTGAAAGCTAACTGCAGTCACAGAATAGAAGAGGGTTAAGGTGGACTCCTCACCAGCGAAACTCGTGCCCAAGGTTAGGCAGCTGGCAGCTGGCTCAGTTCTCTTCCCACTCCAACTGCTGCCATCCCCTGACTCTCAGAAGCAAGAACCAAACAGAAATGGCCAGGGAGCCTGGTCTTTGCCACATCAGTCTGGCTTTGGACTCTTTGGCACAGGGTAAGTCATATCCTGAACATGGCCCGGGAGATTGACAACTTCTTTCCTGAGCGCTTCACCTACCACAACGTACGCGTGTGGGATGAGGAGTCCGCACAGCTGCTGCCCCACTGGAAGGAGACACATCGCTTCATTGAGGACGCCAGGTTGGGACCCTCCCAGCACCTGCTGCTCCAGACCACATATAACTGGCGAAGCCCTGGCTTCCAGTGGGGACTGGTACCCTCCTCCTGCTCATCTTGCCCTCAGCTCTATTTCCTTCACTGCCCTCTCTGTCCTCACTTCCTTTTCACTGCTGGGTCCCGAGCCCTCCCCCATCCCTTCCCGGACTACAGGCCTCTCGGCTGAGGGGAAATGGGCTGACCATATCCCACCTCCACAGAGCACAGGGTACTCGGGTGCTCGTCCACTGTAAGATGGGTGTCAGCCGTTCTGCTGCCACAGTGCTGGCCTATGCCATGAAGCAGTATGGCTGGGGCCTGGAGCAAGCCCTGATCCACGTGCAGGAGCTCCGGCCCATTGTGCGCCCCAACCCCGGCTTCCTGCGCCAGCTACAGACCTACCAGGGCATCTTGACTGCCAGGTATGGGGGGGGGGACTAGGGAGAAGGTGATGTGTATATTGGGGGTGGCTACTGTGTCATTCAAAGCTGACTCAGAGCCACCTCCTCACAGCCGGCAGAGCCATGTCTGGGAGCAGAAAGTGGGTGTGGTCTCCCTGGAGGAGCCCCCGCCACCTGAGGTTTCTACACCACTGCCACCTCTTCCACCAGAACCAGGGGGCAGTGAGAAGGGGATGGTTTTGGGCTTGGAGGAAAGCCAGGAAACCCCAAAAGAAGAGCTTGGGCTTCGGCCCCGCATCAACCTCCGAGGGGTCATGCGCTCTATCAGTCTCCTGGAGCCAGAGAGTACCCCAGAGGCTGGAGGCATGCCTGAGGTGAGTCTGGGCAGGGGAGCTCTCCTGCAGGAGCTCTGTAGAAGCAGCTAAGGGAGCGAAGTGCTGCAGCCTGACTTTAGGCTGGCAGGCCCTTGCCGTAGGGTATCGTCTCGCTACCACCTCCCACCTTTCTGTGCAAGGCAACTTGTCCTGAATACCTGAGGAGGGTGACCACCTCGCTTCTCCCAGGCTTGGCAAGAGTTGCAGGTCTGACCAGGAGCAAGGGACAGTCTGGCCCCAGCCTGACAAACTGGCTCATTTCCTAAGGGGCTTGGCTTCTAGCTTTGGAGTGAGCATCCTCCCTAGATCATGAGCTCTGCTGGCAGCTGATGACATCCTGCACTAGAGAGGATAAGCGAGACCATTCCTGAAGCCCCATCCTAAAGCTGAGGAGCCACACAGCAAAGGATGGCACAGAGAAGAGCCTTGTGCTCATACAGTCCACCTACCAAGTGGACAAGCATGCTGCATGCTGAGAGCTAGGGCACAAGCTAGACAGGAAGCTGGCCCTTGCCTGAGGAAGCCAGGCCCACATGTGACATGAGGTCACATGGCTAGCACAAAAGGAGTCCGCACAGGCAGAACATTTTAGGTGCTGGGTATGGAGATGTGGGATTAATGGTGGTTATTGTCCAAGGCAAGTGTCCTATGAAATACCCAGACCCTGGTATCACAGAGCCCTTTTCTGGGCCTAGCACCTGGCAGGGTTTCAGCTATGGCTCACTGGATTGAACATATACAGGCAGAGGGATGAGAGGAGAATGTGGTTAAAGTCAGGTTTAGTCCGCTAAAAAGGCTTCTAGGGGCCAGAAGAAAGTTCAAGCAGGGAAGGCCAAGTAATAGACCTACCCCTTTCTTAGCGCTGAGTTCCCATGGCTCTTTTTTCTCCCCAACCCAGGTTTTCTCTTCCCATGAGTCTTCCGATGAAGAGCCTCTTCACCCCCTCTCTCAGCTTTCAAGAGCCAAAGGTGGCCAGCGGGTCCGAAAGGGGCCTTGGCCTGCCCTGAAGTCTCGCCAGTCTGTGGTTGCCCTTCATAGCGCTGCCCTAGTAGCCAGCAGAACCCAGGCCTTCCAGGAACAGGGGCAAGGGCAAGGGCAGGGGAAGGCTGGTGTGTCTACACCTAGGCTCCGGAAGATGATGAGGCAGGCCAGTTTAGATGACAGCAGAGAGGAGGGCGAGGCCTAAGCCCTTACACTAGGGCTCCTAGACACTAAACAGAGATTGGTCACAGTTTCTCAGATGAGCTCCCTTTGCACCTATGGGCCTGCATGCTCCCTATAGCTTCCCCCCACCCCCCCAGCAGTCCCCAGACCCTTGTCACTTCCTGCAGCCTTAGGTTTCAGACCCATGTCTACCTGTCAAGGGCTCAAGACTTTTTTTCTATTATAGGGTATTGGTAGAGACATTCAAGGTGCCTTTAAGGGTAATTACACCCTGGTTTCATTTTCCACTCACCCTCTAACTTTATGCAGCCATGGAATTAAAACCAGAAATTTTTAGGACAGTTTTTCTAGTTCACGTCTCCCTGGCTCTCAACTTCTGGCCATTCCACTCTGTGTAACCCTCCTCTCCCGCGGTCCTACAGGCAGCTAGGCCAGGGAACCAGTGGCCACAAAGGCAGATAGCACTTTTAGACCCCAGCCCAACAGGCTCTGAGGGGCCTCACAGACCACCCACCACCCACACAATTGACCAGAATCTCTGCTGCTGCCCCAGTTTTCCCAGGGCCCTCACTGGGTCACAGGGCACTGGGCTAAAGAGAGTCTTCTTGTTCTTGAAGATCTCTGGCTGGTCAAGTTTTTCAAAGTCGTATAGTATCTGGCTTTGTACTGAGAAATAAAAGACATTTTCATATTAAGTGTTTTCCATTTGTGACAAAGCCATCCGTCTTTCAATCAGACCCTTCTCTGTTTACACACCATGTTTAGCCGCTCCTGTCTCCTCCAGCTTCTCCTGTCTCTCAGGTGTCCTGTGACAGGCCTGTTTTGGTTGAGTGGTGTGCTGGGGGAGGGAAAGGGGTAGCCGGTACTATCTCTGTATCTCTAGGGCAAGGCCTGGGTAAATGTTAGCCAGCCTGCCCATCAGCAGATCCGGGAGGAACAAGCCTATATGGGGCAGCAGGCTTCTGGTTCTGCTGGCACAGCTAAAGGGAGTTAATATGAGGAAGTAGAAGACCAAGCCTGTCATTAAAGCTGAGCTTCCGTTTGGACATTTGTTACTAGTTCTTGAGCATATTTGGGTTCTAAGAATCACCTTCCTGCTATACTGCAAGAAAGCCTGTTGTTTTCCTTCCTTCCTCCCACTCTCTGTCTCTTTCTTTTTTCTTTTTTGAGACAGGGTTTCTCTGTGTAGCCCTCGCTGTCCTGGAACTCACTCTGTAGACCAGCATGGCCTGGAACTCAGAGACCCCACTGTCTCTGCCTTCCAAGTGCTGGGTTTAAAGGTGTACACTACCATGCCTGTCTGGAAAGCCTGATTTTCAAAGCCATAGTCATCAGGGAAGATGGTTGCTCAGTGATCCCACCCACCTAGGGGTTTCTTCTCCTCATTTTAGCTTGTAAGAATACTTATTGGGTAAGGCATAGGGGCACAGGCCTTTAAGCCCTACCCTTTGAAGGCAGAGGCAGATCTCTGTGAGTTTGAGGCCAGGGATATATAGTAACACCTTGTCCAAAAAAAAAAAAAAGAACAGAGTGCTTCCATCATTGTCATTTCCATTCCAGCCCCAAGATCACACTCTGTGTCTTATGACACTGTAACATACTACACTGGTTTGGGTTAAGCATCTTCAGGGCCTCCCTTAATGCAGGTTTGAGAGGAACTGACACCAGACCTGAATATCACATCATGTCCAGTTCCATTAAAGTGTCTTCACCAAGCCCTGGGGAATTCCCAGTCCTATCCTAAGCCTAAAGTGGAGAAGAGCTGTGGGTGGGGAGACTTGAGTCTCAGCCCTGGCTTCATCACTTCCAAGTCACTGCACTCAGAGTCTGTTTCTTTTTTGTGAAACAAAGCAAGCAAGGGGAGCCATAAGCACTCCTCTCTGGTTTTTGTTTTGAAACAATGCAGGTCATTCACACACAGCTAGAGCTCAGCTTCTAAGTGTTTCCTGGAATAAGGGTCATTTAAACCCATCTGGGTGGCATGCACAGGAGGGGTACAGGGAAACTAGTTTCATTACTGAGTAAATATGGGGCTGCCTTCCCTCCTGCAGATAAACAGGAGTCACAGCAGACTGCTACGTCCTGGGCTGAGGGCTAGTGAGGTCCCAAGAACAACTCCACTTCCTGCTGCTTGCTCATCTCAAAAAGTAGGGGCACAGTCATAAACTCTGCTCCTTCCAATCCCCCATCCAAGAGGACCCTAAGAAATAAGGATCCAGCACTGGGGAGACAAAAGCTCGAAAGGGAAGCATCTGCATAAAAAAGACAAATTATTAGGATCTGTATATACAAAGCTTAAACAAACTGCTGAAAACCTTAACATAAAACGAGAAATCTCTGTCCTGTCTCTTAGTGCCTCACTTCTGTCTTCACAGGCAATGGCTGCTCATGGCTTCTGAGGCCACCCAAAGATGCCCCATGGTTATCTAATCAAATATACTAACTAGTGTCTGTATTCTTTTGAAATGAGCTGGTGAGATGGCTCAGCAGTTAAGAACTGAGCCACTCTTCCAGAGGTCCTGAGTTCAATTCCCAGCAACCACATGGTGGCTCATGACCATCTACATTGGGATCTGATGCCCTTCTTATGGCCTTCTTATGGTACATGCAGAGCACTCATACATTAAAAAACAAATAAATAAATAAATGAAATTTAAGCCCAGCATGGTGGGACACACCTCAGCAAAGGCAGAGGGAGGCAGAGGCAAGTGGGTCAGCTTGGTCTACAAATCAAGTCTAGGACAGCCAGGACTATTGTTATCCAGAGAAACTCTGTCCCCCCTAAAAAGAAACAAACAAAGAAAAAGCCAGCCTGTGGTGGCACATGCATTTAATCCCAGCACTTGGGAGGCAGAGGCAGGAGGATCTCTGTGAATTCAAGGCCAGCCTGAATATAGAGTGAGTTCCAGAACTGCCAGGTTGACACAGAGAAACCTGTTTCAAAAAACAACAACAACAAAAGAAATATAAATTTTAAAATTTACATTTTAATGCTTTGTGTGTGTGTGCGTGTGCACACAATTGCCACAGTTTGTGTGTGTGGAGGCCAAGAGAACAACTAGCGGGTGTTAGTTCTCCCAACGTGTAGGTTCCAGAGGGCAAACTCCGGCAGTCAGTGTTGGTGGCAGGCCCTTTACCCACTGAGCCCTCTCACTGGCCCTAGACAACGGCATACTAACATTCTATAAAGCACTTTGAAATAGTTTTCAAACCATGACCTTTACAGCACTTTCCCATAAGATATGCCCCAATTTGAAATTACTAAGATAAAGGGTTTGCCTAGCATCATCATGTTGCCCTGAGTTCAACACCAAGAATCACATACACATCACAAACACATACACATACACCAAGAATAACCATACACATTCAATTTTATAGACTCTATTATGTATTTAACTTTCCTTTTATACATAAGGGTGTGTGTGTGTGTGTGTGTGTGTGTATGTGTGTGTGTACATATAAATAGTTTTTGAGGCAGAGTTTCTCTGCGTGTGTAGCCTTGGCTGTCCTGAACTTGCTTTATAGACCAGGCTGGCCTCAAACTCACAGAGCTATGCCTGCCTCTGCCTCCCCAAGTGCTGGGATTACAGGTGTGTACCACTGTGCCCAATTTATTTTTATTTTTTGACATGTTTCTTCTCTCTCTGTAGACCAGGCTGGCCTGGAACTCAGAAATATGTCTGCCTCTGCCTCCCCAGTGCTGGCATCAAAGGTGTGTACAACTTGCTGGGCTATACAAGTGACCATTTATAGATGAACAGGCTGTCTAGATTTTTAAAAATCCCATTCCACCAAGTACTTTTGTCTGTATTTTTATTTACAAAAATATTTTGTTTGCTACCACATCTGTAGGATATATTTCTAAAATTGCCAAAGCAAAGACTACACATTTTTAATTTCATACAATATCGCCTAATATCCTTCCAGGACGTTGCGCCTTTTTACAATAAATGGGAATGTTTATCTCTTTAAAGGGCCATCCAGCCTACACACCCAAGTCACCTTGCAGAGGGACAAAGGGCAGGCCTTATAACCACCAGTGTTTAGAAACTGAGACGCAAGAGAAACTCCTGTGTGTCTAACAGAGACTGAATCAGATCCTGGGTTTCTAAATTTTCAATACAGGAGCCTAACTCCGGACACAGAGACGGCTGTTTCTCGGAGGTCAGTTCACTGATTTCACAGGACTGCTCAAGGTTCTGGGTGGAGAACTGCCTGGAAACAGCCAACTCGCACAGGCACTATCAGAAAATCCCTGCGCTCAAGGACCCATTCAGTTCCCACCTGATACGAAGCCCCGACTTGGCAGCAAGGAGGAGCTCGCACCGCTTGTCTCAGGCTAGCCCCAACCTGGGCTCGTTTCCACCTTCAAAGCCTTCTCCTTGCGCCGAGCCGGGATCACCAGTGGTCACCCCTGTGCCCGGCGCCAGGGCAACCCCTCACGAGGCTGTTTAAAAACACAGCAAAATCAAACCCTCTTCGTAGCTCGCCTCAGAGACGAGGCATCGCAGAATCTGACCTTTCAGGCCTGGCAGCCTCTCCTCAGACCACAGCAACAGCGACGCCAAAGACTCCGGCTCCTTAGAACCAACCGCGACGCTCGAGCGCCATCTTGCGTCCCTTTCTTAGGCCTAGTAGTGGCAAATTGGAAACTACATTTCCCAGCGTGTCTAGCGCAACCGCGCAGGCGCAAAGAACGTCCTCTGGTTTCCATGGGAACCTCGACCCTAATCCGGACAGCTCTGCTCGGAGGGTTTAGAATGTTGTTCCCTGAAATACAAAGGAGCCAGGACCGGGTTTGCTAACCGTTACGGGGACAAGGTGGGGAAGTTGCCCTGCCTCCCGGGACCAGCGCTGCCAAATTCTTCTGGTGTCCTGGCGTCCGCGCGCTCCGGGGCCTCGGTGTCCTGAGTAGCCGGGCGAGAACAGTGTTTGGCTCTCAGACCTGCAAGGTGCCACTCGCCTTGAGCTAGTTTCTAAATCTTGTCACCCTCCGGCGGAGGGCCTGCGCGCTGCACACAGGTACTCCTTGGGCACAAGTGGACAGCGGGCAGGGATGGTGGGCGCTGAGGGAACGCGAAGGTAGAATCTTTCAGCCTAGGAGACCAGTGCACCTGGGGCTTGGACCTGACTCTGCCTGCGAAGGAGTCGGAGGCTGACCCCCAACTTCGGTATCCTTGGTCCCGCCCAATATAATGGGGTTTGCCCTGGAATAGAAGACAGTGTCTGTAAAATATAGAAGGAACTTGAGCAGGTTGTGGTGCGGCTCGCCTGTAGATGAAAGTTCAAGGCCAGCCTGATATACACACACGAGTCCAAGGCAACCAAGGCTTCAAAGTGAGACCTTGCATAAACAAGCAAATAAAAATAAGGAACTTGAAGCAAATAATCCTAAAGTGTTCTCTAGCCAATTTACATACAGCTATAGTCGCTGCCCCTCACCAAGTGCAAGAAAAAAAAAAAAACAAAAAACGTGTGTGTGGGGGGGATGAAATGGTTTAAACAAGCATCTGACCTTGGGATGTGATCTAGTCAAACCTGGGCTTGTGATTCGGGTACAGATTTATTACACTTCTTGAGCCTCATGGGCACAAATAATAGTAATGAAGTGCCACCTCCTGATTTTTGTTTTTTAAGGTTTATTTTATGTGTATGGGTGTTTTGCCTACATGTATGTATGTGCACCATCTGAGTACCCGGTGCTGAACAAGATCAGAAATGGTGGCCGATCCTCTGGAACTGGAGTTAAGCTTGGTTTGGTTAGGAGTCCCTCCGTGTGGGTGCTAGGAATCAAACCTGGTCCTCTGCAAGAATAAGTGTTATTTTTTAAAATTTATTTAACTTTATTTTAAGTGCATTAGTGTGAAGGTGTCAGATCCCATGGAATGGGCATCACAGACAGTTGTGAGCTGTCATGTGGGTGCTGGGAATTGAACCTGGGTCCTTCAGAAGAGCAGACAGTGCTCTTAACCACTGAGCCATCTCTCCAGCTCCAGAATAAGTGTTTTAAAGTGCTGAGCCAGGCCCCCACTTAAGGTTGTATTTTGTTTTGTTTTGTTTTTCAAGGTAGGGTTTCTTTGTGTGTAGCCCTGGCTGTCCTGGAATTTGCTCTATAGACCAGGCTGGCCTCAAACTCACAGAGATGCTCCTGCCGCTGTCTCCGGAATACTGTGATTAAAGGAGTGCACCTCCATTGCTGCTGCTGCCGCCGGCACCACCACCACCGCCACCACCCAGGTTTTTAAGGATTAAATGGGAAAACAGTACATTTTTTAGTCCAGTGCCTGCATATAGTAAACACTATTCTAAGTCTAGATCCCTAAATATTGAATAACTTCTTTTAATTCTGGGCATATCCATTCTTCTGAGGCAGGATTATATATTTACAGGCTGATTGGAAAGAGGAAGCTGGAGTCTACTCATACAAGGTTCAGTGCTGAAGGCTAGTGCACTCACTGGCACAGCATGAAGGGAGGATTCAGGGTCCAACATTGGATGGTGGTGAAGATACTTTTCCTTCCTTAAGATTCTTAGAGAATCCTGGGCAGTGGTGGCCCCTTTAATCCCAGGACTTGGGAGGCAGAGATGTCAGATCTCTGTGAGTCCGAGGCCAGCCTGGTCTACAGAGTGAGTTCCAAAACAACTAGAATTACACAAAGAAATCCTGTCAAAAAAAAAAAAAAAGAAAAAGAAAAAAAAAAGAAAGAAAGAAAGAAAAAGAAAAAGAAAGAAAGAAAAAGCAAGCAAGGAAGATATTCTTAGAGGAGGGCCGAACATAGTGGCACATACCTTTAATTCCAGCACTTGGGAGGCGACCAGCATGGTCTACAAAGCAAGTCCAGGAGAGCCAGGGCTCTTTTACACAGAGAAACCCTGTGTCAAAAAACCAAACCAAAACAAAACAAAACAAAAAAGATTCTTAGAGGATGTGAGAACTTACCTGTTACATGAAAGCTGCTGAATATACCTAAAATGTTTTTTTCAAAATACTCATTTTTATTTTGTGTGTGCGGGTGTTTAGCCTGCACAACAAGCATGCAGTGCCCACAAGGGTCAGAAGAGGGCATCAGAGTCTCTAGAATTGGAGTTGTTTGCTTGCACGATTGTATGTGCACCATGTACATGCCTGGTACCCATGGAAGTCAGAAGAGGGCATCAGAACCTCCTGGGCTTGGCATTAGGGATGCTTGTGAGCTGCCATGTGGGTGCTGAGACTCAAACCTGGGTCTTCTGCAAGAACAAGGCCTCTAAGCCACCGAGCAATTTCTCCAGCCCCGTGAGCAGTTTTAAAATTTTATTTATTTTTATGTGCATTGGTGTTTTGCCTGCATGTATGTCTGTGTGGGGGTGCCAGATCTCCTGAAACTGGAGTTACAGACAGTTGTGAGCTGCTATGTGGGTGCTGGGACTTGAACCTGGGTCCTCTTAACCTCTGAGCCATCTCTTCAGCTCCCCATGAGCATTTGAAACACCTATCATGTATGTGGTACTATGTGGGTACTCTGAGGAATATGGTGATGTATAATACCCTAGGAAACATAGGATCTGACAGAGAAGTAATTATGAGGCCAAACACATCATTTAAGTAAAAATGAGTGTAGCATCTCCAGGTCACTGTACTCTGGAGATTCCAATGCAGGAGAGATCATTCCCAAGTCACAGTATACTGAGAGAAGGAGGAAACTTCACATGGGTTTTCTAATATATGTGTAAAGTGTACAAGTCAAAAACTAGGGAAAAAGTATTCTGGGGACCCTTCTCAGAGTCTGACACTGAAGAGAGCTGTTTGTATTCCTGACTAGATGGCTCTAGAAGACAGAACCTAGTGACTGCTTTATTCTCTGCTTGATGTTGGCACATAGTACATATCAGTGAAGAGTTTTCCTGTAAAGGGGAACCAGACAAGGGAACTTAAATTACGCTAGGCCTTCATGCAGCCATTCCTATAGGAGGAGGGATGTGACCAGGCAGGGGATTATGGCAAGAGCCATAATATGTTGGCATATTTTAGACAGTACCAGCCCACTGAGAAAACAAATTAATAAAGCTTCATAAAGTATAGAAAGGTCTGTGAACCTCCCTTCCTGGAGCTTAAGGGACGAGCTATGATGAGAGGAATGAAACCTAGGCCATGAAGCAATCAGAGAGCAGTGGTGGATGCCCTTTTGGTTTATGTCTGTACTTAAACATCTTTTTCTATTACCAACTTTTCTACAGGGACATTTCCCTCCCTTCTAAAATCTCCTTGGCAGCAGGAAACTATATCTATCACACCAGCTTACTAGGCTGCTACAAAAAGATGGCATTAGCACCAGCAGCTCCATCTTCAGGGTGATCTGTGGGTCCTGCTTTTCTCCAGGCCTACCCAGAAATTAGCCCCTCAGAGACAAGTGTCCAGGATGCAGAGCAGTGGTGTGTCTTGAGGAAGGCACAGATAGATAAGACTGAAAGGAGAAGGCCTCAAGGATAGGGCCTCTTTAAGAAGGTCTGGATCCTCCCAGTCCTCTTGCTTGAGGTGTGTGCAAAGTCACCCTCAAAACGGGAGCTGTGGAGATGGTGTCAAAGAGAGGAGAATGCACAACAGTTGCCTTTTTTTTTCTTCCCCTAGATATGGAACGCAGGACTTGAGGGGACTACAAGTGCTCCCTTTGCTGGAGACATAAACCAAGGAGAGCTCTTACCTTCTCCTGGCCCTGGCTTGTGCCTGGAGCCTTGCTGTTGCTCTTCTTTTGCTCCTACTCCCCTGGCTGCAGGTAAGTGCTTGTTCAGGGCAGGAGAATCCTTTTCGGCTAAGTGTCATGTGGAGCCTGGTAACTCCAGGCCTGATGGTTAGGAGGTCGTGGTAGCAGCATGCCTGCCATGGAGACCTGTTCCAACTGGCTGCAGGAGTATGATGGCCCTTTGTCATTTGTAAAGCACTGCCACTTACACGAGATCTCACTGGATGTCAAGCAGCAGCAGGTTCTCATGAGATAGCTTCACTTTTCCATCTGAAGGTACAAGTTCTTAGGGTGTAGATCAAAGAGCTAAAGACAGTAGTCTCTCCTGCCTGTTACCACGAAGGGGGTGTCATCAGCCTACTGGGGAAGCCACAGTCCTCAGTTAGCTGGATTCCAGAAAGCAACTCTCTTTCTTCCCAATTCAGTCAGAATTTCCTGCCTGTTTCCATAACTTTCCAGCACCTACTGTCAGACATATTGGAAGAGGGCCTCCCTTCTCATGACTCACTAGAAACCTATTCCCACATACACAGTCCTGTTGAGAGTTACACATCCTTTCCTTGACTCGCCAGGTTTATCCTCTGGCAGATGGCTTACCCAGGTAGCTGAGCTTCTTGGGGGATTGTGTATCTGGCTGGAGGAGGAAGGATAGGAAATCTGTTCCCCATCTCCATGGGGAAGGAAGCTATAGAAGTTTGCCTGGTGAGGCAGGCCTGGGTAGTAATTCCCACCCAACCCTGTTGGCACCCACTGGTTCAAGGAGTTACAGAGGTACAGGGATGACAGAGAAGGCCACACAGAGAGTCCAAGACTAGGCCAAAGCAGGTCCCACCTGTTGACCTAACTCAACTCAGACACAGATGTGGGGTGAGACAGTCTGTGTAAAAGGCTACATTGAGAAGAGGGAGCCACTTATATGTGGCCTACGTTTTATGTCCTCATGTGTCCTGAGGAAGTTTGGAGATAGGTGGGTTTACCCAGGACAGCAGCAGCCTATCCTCCCAAGCAGCCATCTTGGTGTGGCAGACTGATCTCAGCCTAGGAAGCCATTAGGAGGCCACACCACCCGCTCAGTGATGGCTCAGCTACATGCCCCCTTCAGCTCTGTCCACATTTTGATGACCTCACTATCCTAAACGTTCCTGTATTGGGCTGAACTCTGCCTCCTCAGAAGGTCTGGCTGCTACCGTCCCCTTTTTTCAGCTGAAGCTGCTGAACACAAGAGCACGTGCCTTTTGCTGCATCTATCTCAGGTGTGTTCATGTGGAACTATCTATGACTCCTAGTCTCTGATAAAGGATTCAGCTGAGAGAGGACAGGGCAAGGCAGGAAGGCCAGGAACTTGGAGCCTAAGTAGGAAGGGACTTGTTAAAGGGATGCCATCATGGAACTGAAGGCCAGGGCACTAACATTGCTTGGGCTTCAAGGCTTCTGACAGTGGGTTGTAGGGCCAGGCAAAGGCTGTTCTGAACAAGGAACTGTCCTTGGAAGAAGGATTCTTTTTCTGGTTGCAACCATGTTGGAGTAGGAGGGCCTGTGAACGGTCATGTGACAGGACAGCTGGGACACTAAGCATGTTCTCTTTCCTTTTGGCTCATCTCTGAAGCTAGGAGCTTCTAGCCAGCCTCTTGTTGACTCTTCTGTTCAGTTCTGCGTCCCTTACACCCAGATGTAAGCCCCTGAGTGACTTTCCACACATAACCAGTTACCAGAGTCTGATGGTCTTTCTCCAAACGTCTCCCATTTGCCACCCTTCCTCAGCTTTGCCCCAGTCCCTGTTACCATGCCTTCCTGGTTTCTAGGCCTTCACTGACATATCTCGTGCTTTTGGTGGTGCTCTGCGTGGCCTCATAAGTGCCATACTGACTTTTTTTCTTTGTGAGTCAGGGCCTGTCTCCCACTGGCACCAGCCTGCCTTTCTAGCTTTATCTTCCAGGACATCCTAGTCTGTGTCTTTCTTTCTTTCTTTCTTTCTTTCTTTCTTTCTTTCTTTCTTTCTTTCTTT